TATACTTAATGATTCTTGTTATGGTTTCAATGAGCATGGTGCCACTAGCACAAGTACCCCTATCTGTGGCCACACTACGAATCAGATCTTGAATATATATAAAACAGAAGTGATGATGAATAACAGATTTTATATCTGTAGGAGCTAAGAACAGATTGAGGGCTTTACAATCTCGACCTCTACTTAAATACTTTTAAATATTTCCCATTATCTATGGAACTTTACGTACCTATGGAACCTATGGAACTTTATGGAACTGTACTCTTTTTTTTTTTTTTTAAAAGATTTATTTATTTATGTATTTATACAAGAACCGTGGTTCAGGCCAGCTTCGCGGGAGGGTGAGAGGATTCACCGGAGACAGAGTGGGGAGCAGAACAGGCAGACTGAAGAAATACACTGCTGAGGGGAACAGCAGGTGACACAGGAGAGGTCTGCTGCACCATGTGGGACCCTCGCCGGCAGCGGGTATCGAACCGGCGCTGCAGAGGCTGCGGACAGCTTCACAGCATGGCGCTCAACCGCCCGCGCCACCAGGGGAGGCCCATGTACTCTTTTTTTTAATCAATTATCACTTACTTATGGAGTACTTAACATGAATGATTACTGCACTAGATGGTTAAGACATCAACAGGCTAATATAGTCCCTGCACTAAAAGGCTTATAATGCCGAAAAGGAGTCATATATGAAAATAGATCCTGTAACTAGTACATCAGGCATAACATACGAGCTAGAAGAGACTGATGCACTGACTGGTTGTACAGAGTAGGTAACAATTAATTCCAAATAACAACACTAAAAAGAAAGGAGGTATTTGGACTGGGTCTTGATGAATAGAAAGGATTTTAACAGGCAAATGAGGGGAGGAAGGCATTTCTGACAGCAGCAACAGCAAATCAGAGCCTTAAGGACTCTGGTATGCTAGTGAGGTGGGGGTGGAAGGGGGGAAGGAGAAGGAGGGAGGGAGAGAAAGAGATTAATGAGAAGACCCAGCTGGAAAAATCTCAAAGAATTTGAACTCTCAAAGGTATCTAAGCAGAAAAGTGATATAACCAGAACTGTGTGTTGGTCTAGATCTCAGATCAAAGGTAAGGCATAAAAATAGTGAAATCACGGGCTTTAAAGACTGACCCGGAAAAAAAAAAGTACAAACAGAAAAGGGTTAAAGATTAAATACTGAGAAATAACTACATTGGGGAAGTGAGGGAGCTCAGTGAAAAAACACAAGTGATTTGATAGGGAACCGAGAAGAGAAATGTTAAAAGAGCAAAGGAAAGCAGAGGGACAATACAGTACAAATATAGTAGAGAACAATCTTACTTGTTCCTCTACTTTCCCTCATGAGACAGTTACAATAAAATTAGGTGGAGCTAAGGGAAGAGCCATGTCATAGCAAGTTAAGGAAAAAGGTGAAGATTTATAGAGGCAGCAAGGGGGGGCGGGGAGTTCTTTTCCAAGAACTAGGATAGTGAATGGAAAAAGAGAAAAGGACAAAACTTTGAAGCCAAAGCAGAATATGTGTTAGTTTATATGAGGAGCTACATCAACTTTCTTATTCACAGAGAAGTGAGAAAAAGGAACACTGAAACGAATTAACAGGAGACAAGAACCCAAGTCTGGGGGAGAAACGAAGGTTGACTAAGTGTCAGGAAATCTAACAGACGTTCTGGAAAAGAGAATATAGAGGAAGAAACTAGATAAATTTGTGATACTGACCAAGGAAGTGTAGGGCACCCCAAAAAGTTGGGTGAGGTAATGTGCTTGAATTACATGTGGTGAAGTTCAGCAAAATAAGAATTTACCAACTGCTCTTTGGAGAGGACATTCAATTGGAACTGAAGAAAAAGTGCACTGAGGGTGAAACAGCAAAAGTAAAGAAACAGCAGAATTATATGTTCACACAGCACAGTTAATAACAATGAAAGATCTTTGTAGATATAAACCCCTAAGTAGGTGATAACCATGTATGTCAAAATATGTAGCACAAATTTTTGAATAGAGAAAAGATTTCCAAAGCCCAGCAATAGTCTACTTGCTTTAAATATAATTATTACAGCCAAATTCCAATATAAAATAATAGGTGGTTTGAGTACACTGAGTTCTAATTGGTAAGTTTCATACCAAAGTTTGAATCTTGTTATCTTTCACAAGACAGTATTGCTCCAACCACTTGTTATTCACAAATTCAATAATAAACATAACTCCTTCCAAGTTACTTATAAATAAGAAGACATATTCTTTCAACAGGACACTAAAGGTCTACTTCAGGGTTGAAGACTTGTTACTCATCATTTATTAGGTACAACTGTTTATCTGATAACGAATCGAATTCTAACTGCCCACATTTCTTCATTTTGACCATAGGACATGCTAATTTTATCAATATGCTCTGGTGAAATTTAACTGTACAACATCTAAGGTATTTCTCTAATGAACCAGTCTACGAATCCTGTCAAAAAAGGAAATAAAGTTAATTTGGCCACTCCCCAACCTGCCCTGTCTCCACTTAAGGTTCCACCAGTCTGAATTTAAATGATTCTATGAATTATGTTATAAATCTACCCTGACAGGGGCTCACCCACTTTTCTCCAAGACAAACTTCCCACTTCTAAATTAGCTACTTTTCAATATCTGAATATAAGGCAAACCTTTACATTACCCTTATATCAGTTTTACATATTTAAAATCACATCCATATAAAATTATATTAATTTAAAAATTCTTTCCCCCCATTCCATTTCTTAAAACCATTTTGTTGAACTAAAACAAAAAGAAAAAAAAAAACAAATAAACAAGGAAAAGTAGGGGGAAAAGTCTTATTAAAATATTTCCAATATATCTTTGGCATCTGTCCTTATATTCACTAATGTGACTGAGCTATCTAGCAGTTTTTCTTTTTTTCTTTTCTTTTTTTAAAGATTTATTTATTCATGTACACAAGAACCAGGGTACAGGCCAGATGCATGGGAGGATGGGAGGATTCATCAGAGACAGAGCAGGGAACAGAACAGGCAGACTGACTGAAATACACTGCTGAGGGGAGCAGCGGGCGCCACAGGAGAAGTCTGCTGTGCCCTGTGGGACCCTCGCTGGCTGGCTGGGATCGAACTGGTGCTACAGAAGCTGCGGACAGCTTCACAGCGCTGCGCTCAACTGCCTGCGCCACCATGGGAGGCCCTCTAGCAGTTTTTTCAAAGCATTATTATCTTATTTTATTTATACGTTTGAGTTAAAGAACTTTCTGAGTCTGTGTTCTTTTTAACCTAAGTCCTAAGTGCAAATTTTCTACGCATTCAGGCAGTTTTTCCATTCTGTAGGTGTAGATTCATAATCTCTTGACAGTAACACCAGTACTGACTGGTATTGATTCAGACACATCTCCAGTCATTTGTGAGGTTTTGTATGGAGAATAAAGTGATATTTCTAGAGGTTATTCTGAGGGGGGGGGAAGGGGGAGGAAAGTCTTGCTTTATATCCAGGTAATCAACAAGTCAAAAAAACAATCATAAAGCATCAGGTGTCAAATTCTTTCATAAGCACTAGTAACATAAGCTATTCCTTATGTAAACAGAGGATGCATTAAGAGTCTTCAGAAGGTAAACAAGTTTTCTTTCTGAACTGGTGTATTACAACTCTGTTATACTGTTAGGAAAGAAGAGTAGATTAGGACAGGTTGCTTAATTCCTGTGAATTAGTTTTCTTAGAGTAAGTGCAGGAGCACCTAACTAAGGAGTATTGTGTACTAAGTGCCACTCACTGTCACAAAGATTTTCATGAACTAACTAAATCTTCACCAGGCACCTCTGAAATAAGTGCTATTGACAATTCCATTTTATTGATGGGAAAGACCTGGCACAGACAGGGGAAGAAACTTGCCCAAAGTCATACAGTTTCTAAGCGGCCCACATCTGGTCTAGTTCTAAGCCCTTGCCCCTTTTAAAAGAAACTAAATACTTCTCAAATTAGTAAAATTAGGTCTATGTTTTATAAGACGGCTCCATATATTAGGCAGTTAATCTAAAGACATGACTGAGGTGCCAATATATTTAATATTGCTTCTCTTCCATTATTTTCTATTATCCATCCACACTGCCTGAAGACATAGAGAGGAGTCTGAGGGAGGAGTTAGTCCATCCTTTGTATTTATGTTCCCTGCGCTAATTACTATCTCCATTTCAGTCAAATACATGGAAGGCAAAAGGTTCCCACTATAAACACAAGCACAGAACACATGGTGCCCTGTCTACCTCATCCTCCTCGCAAACTGTTTTTAACATAGTAGAGAATCTGCCCCTCGATCTCCCTTGCTATCCCAGATGTCTAAAACGAACTTCAACCGTTTCCTTCGGAAAAGGTAATTCTCCTGAGGTCTAAAACGGCAGCACTTCTCCAGTAGCCATCTGTATGCTGCAACAGGGCTGAGAAGCAGTTTCCTCAGGGAAAAAGGTGAAATATGAACTCAAGAATGGCAGACTGGGAGGAAAGGTGTAGCGTGCAGAAAAGGGAAGGAAGGAGGGGGGAGGAAGGCGCCGCTGACAGACTTGGAATTTCGTGCAGACAGGAGGCGAACAGAAACTGACGAGGGGAGGAAGGTCGAATCTTTGGAACCTGCTAAGGCTGAATTTTCTTGGATTTTTCCTTTAATGCATGTTAGACTCTGGCCTCAGAAGAAACGGAGACCCCCGGAGTCCTAACGGCCCGGTCGGTCGGGCAGAGCCCCGGCCCCGCCGCCCCGCCGCGCGGGTCCTGGGCGCACATCGCCGGCCGCCGGCCTCGGCCCGGCCTTTCCCTCCCCGCTGCCCCCGCCGGGGGTCGGCCGAGCGCGTCGCCCCGAGGCCGGGACCCGCGCCCGGGTGCGCGGCGGCGGCCTCCCAGGCCTCCCCGGCGGCGGACAGCCCCCGCCCCTGGTGCGCTTCGCCGCCCCGCCCGCTCCGAGCCCCCCCGCGGACCTGCGCCCGGCGGCCCCGGAGTACCAGCCACGCCGAGCCGGGGGTCTTACCTTTAACAGATTAGACGTCGCCATGTTCCTTCAACTTCGCCTCTCGCGAGACGGCGCGAGATTTCGCGGCGCTCCTGGCCCGGCCACAACGGGAGGCCGGGCGCCCGCCGGGCCGCCGGGCCGCCGGGCCGCACCGGAGAGGGGTGGGCGCCGGGGCGGGTGCCGACGGCGCTGACTCGTCCCGAGGACCTGGAGCTTCCTCGCGCTTGCCCCTACATGGTCACCGGCGCTTGCCCGCACGGCAGAGCTCATGCAAACGCTCAGGGAGGCGGCGACAGCGAATGGGGAGGAGGTAACGGGAGCCGACCTGAACTGGAAGAGGAAGCATCGACTCTACGGGACTCCCCGCGCCTTCAGATGAGCCTGGCTAGTTGCACCGGCAGGGGCCACCGGCAACGAATCGAGCTCGGCTTAGGCCCGCAGCTCTGGGGCCGCGGCCGCGTCACGTGACGCGGCGGGCGGGGGCGCGCTCGGGAGCGCGCTCGGGGCGGCGGGGGCGCCTGCCAGTCGCGGCCGGGGCGCGAGCGCGCCCTCTGCTGGCGGGACCCGACGTGTTCCGGTATCTCGGGTCCTGAATTCCGGGACTCTGGTGTTCCCCAGATCAGGTATCCCGAATGAACTTATTTCAGCTTGTCTTCTCGAAGAACTGGTACGTAAAGGCTCCCAGGAAATGTTTGTTGGATGAATTGAGCGAATGCACAAATGTTAGCTATTGATATTTCTATTGAAGAGTGCCTGGCGCAGAAAGAATCTGTAAAAGCCAATTCAGGCAGTGAATATGCATCTCGGTTTCCTGAAGGCATTTTGTCCTCGAAGATCCTAAGCCATACGCCCCCAGTAAAAAGGGGCGGAGAGAGTAAGACGGTATATTAAATTATAGCCAATTTTATGTACCCTGAAAAAAAATGTGACAAATTTAAATACAATGATGGAATGCATGGGAGGCCCTAAAGAATGCAATTAACTACTTAATACCTTAATACCTGTGCATTTGGAGGGGACTGCTTTCATAATCGCCCTCATTCCTGTGTCACACACTGAGCCTCGTGGCTGCTGGGGATAATTGGACTTGGAACACCCCACAACGTAACAAGGCAGTCTCTTCTCCCAGCAATCTGGTCCAGGCAGCACCTCTGTTGCAAGTCTCCCCTGACGGAGTGCTCCCTCCCGTGAACCCACCACTGCCTGATTACCACCACCTGCTCCTGTTTTCCCTTTTTTCCTCATCCAATTAAGATTCTGTGGCCCAGCATTATAAAAATGTTTAAGTACTTTAAATGATTAAATAATTAATTAAAAATAGAAAACAGGGCCTCCCTAGTGGTGCAAGACGCAACCTATGAAGGTATCTGCAGCCACTGCAGCACAAGTTCCATCTCTGGCCAGGGAGCTACCTGCATGGCGAAGCAGACCTCTCCTGCCTCGCCCACTGCTCCCCTTTGCAGTGTATTTCAGTAAATCTGCCTGCTCTGTTCCCCACTGTCTCTGGTGAATCCTCTCACCCACCCCACCTCGGCCTGTACCCCAGTTCTAGTATGCATAAATAAATCTTTTTTTAAAAAATAAACCCCAGTACTTAAAAAAAAAATCAGCTACCTCCACAGTCCCCTTGGGAAGCCATTTTTCCTTCTCAGATAAAATTACAGTTAAAAGTTTCTTGTTTCAGGTTTTCTGACATGTCTCTTCTGTTTGCTCCAATGCCCAGGTCAAGCTCTCCTACTCACTAACTACATTCTACAGGAGCTAGAAACTCCTCCATGAAAAGAGAAGACAAATCAGAGGTTTTCATTCAAGGCCGTTTCATCTTGCAAGCTGGTGTCCTATAGGTTGCTGTGGGGCTTGCAGCTGCCTGGAAAGGGTGTGTTAACATTTTATCTCCCCCTCCCCCCCAGTGGCACCTCTCTGAAACTACAATGACAGGAGCTGCTTTAAGGAGACTTTTTGGCCTCTGGGGGTAACTTCAAAGACCCTGAAGAAACACACACACCACTTCTAGTACTCCTTTCATTATCTATAATTACAGAAATAATTATTCAATACCAGAAAAAAAACAAACAACTTTATCTTGCCTAATTACTGCTAAGTAGAAGAAACAAAAATTAGCATCTGTTGGCCAATTATAACACTTTTATTCATGCTATTACTTGGAGACTTTAATTAGAATTTTATTTTTAAATTCTAGAATCATACTTTTTACTTAAACTACTATCATTTAGAAGTTCTCTTTAAATTCAGGTTTTACAAGGTAAGGATGGACTATGAAAATAATATTTTGGTGTTAGAATTTAGAGACTTCACTTCCTGTATGAACTCAGTTTCTTAATTGAATTAAGTCTGAAGTAAATCATCAGTATTTTTGCTGTGCCAAAGCAAACCAGCAGTTATAATACAAAGCACTGGTCTTGCTATATTTTTTGTTCAGTAAATTCCTTACTACTTACAAAATTAAAATATATCCAGGCTGGGCAATGACTTCATACAATGAAGCGGTGAAACCAGTCAATATTAATACCTACATTTTGTCACATCTTAGAAAGACCTCTGTTTCTTCCCCTTCCCTTTTTCTTGCATTTTATTTTGTTCGTCTCCTGGGTATGCTCCAAAATACTCAAGAACACTCTTCATATGTTCTTCAGCTGTCTACCTAAATGTATTAGTGATCTCAGAGGATGTCATTAGAAATGCTGATTAAGGGAAAATTGAGAAAAAATATAAGGGAAAAAAAAAAGGCTTACATTATGGTATAAAGCTATATTGGAGAATAACTTCAAAAGGGGATCAGGTGTTGAATTTTTCTCTCTGACTAAAACTTGCACACTTAGGTGGGGTGGCTGGGTGACCACAGGCATCTCTTCAACTCCTGCCACCTAGAAGGGACCACAGGATCTACCCACAGGATCTCTGTAGTGATCAGCTCCGAGGAGCAGGGACCATCCTGTTACACTTACCCTTGAGATAATTTCCCCAAATTAATTTGTACATTCAAAACAATTCTGATAAAATAGTTACATGATCCCTTTTTACTGAAACTTGACAAGCCAATTTTATAATGTATTTGGGAGAAACATGGGGAACAGCAAAGAACAACTTAAAAAAAAAAGAGGAGTTAGCCAACTGTATATAAACCCATATTACTTTCTTAATGCTGATTTTCTTTTGTTCTTACAAGACTTTGTTACAGAAATGTTCACCAAGGTAGTGAAGATAGTACAATGAAACTCCATGGTCTGTTTTAGATTCCTCTCGATCCCAAAACAGTTTACCATAAACGTCATGACTGAAGACAATATAAGTGTCCCTCACAGATCGGGAGCCCAGAAGTCCACAGTCAAGGTGTTGGCAGCACTGAATTTCTTCTGAAGTTTTCAGGAAAGAATCAATTGCTTTTCATCTTCTACTGAATGCCCACAGGGGGCATCCTTCATTCACTATGGTAGCAGCACTCTTGACACAGGTTTTGGGCCACCTGGCACTCAAGCCTAGTTGAAAAGTCACATGTAAAATGCCCTGGAGCAAATTTAAGGATCAATTTGGAATATGCTCTGGGAAATGTCCTGAGGTTCCCTGGTTCTCAATTTTACCAACCTCATCCCCATCATACACTTGAAGTGATTCAGCCCATTGAAGCATTCGTGGGTCCAGGGGCCCAAACCTAAGGACAACCCAGGTGATGGCCTTTAGGACTGGCCTTTAGGTGCACGCAGTCCTAAAGAAGTGCTTAGGGGCGATGAGATCAAGGACACTGGGTATGGGACAGAGGGTTGAGTGAGTGGGGGAGGGAGGGTTCCTTTGAGTCCTAGCTTCTAGACTTTCCAGTCACCTAGAAAAAAAGGATGGTGCCAGTCTGTCCATCTCTAAGGTCCTCTGTGGGGTGTCGGTTGATAGGAGTCCAGTTGACCCTTGAACAACACAAGTTTGAAGTGCGAGGGTTCACTTATATAGGCAGATTTTATTCATAAAGAGAGTTGAACTTCCATCTGCCCGGGTTCCTCATGCCTCATTCCACTTGAATACAGGCATGGGAACTCAGGGGCATGGAGCATCTCCTAGGGGAAGAGCATCTAGGGACTTTGATATTGGAAGGGAGGTTTGAGGGAAGTGTCAGTATCCCCAACCCCTCACACTGTTCAAGAATCAACTTGGTTCTACAAACTTTAAAGCCATTCACACATTCAAGTCCTTGCCACCAAGAGAGAACCTGGGCTAGTCTGTCTGCAGCCCCAGGTGCTCATCAGAGTCACCATTCCAAACACCTATCAATAGAATTCTTTTGATAAAAATTGGTGGCAAAAATCTGACCTGAACTAAGGATTGGTTGCTTATAAACTTTGTTTTGTTTAGTGCCGGGGACCAGCCTCTGGCAAAACGTCGTGTCAGGGGTTCCTGAAAGGATGAGACGGCGTCGGCGAAAACGAAAGGGGCTGAAACTTAAGGGCTGAGGGGAAGGAGATGAGGTAGAATGAGGAGACACTGACACTTGGTGAGGTGCTAGTATCTTCTGCCGAGGACTAAGCAGGTCTTTATTTATTTATTTTTAGTAAGCAGAAAAAAAAATACATTGTCATGTGTAAAGCAGAAACAATTAGTGTATTATGTTCCCATGGACTACTGGCTCCTACGGGTCCCAGTTAGACGGTAGCCTTCAAGGTTAATAGATAAAAAACCAGACCTAACACTAAAACTTATAATTTCAGCTAGACAATTACCTAAGACAGTGGATAGCTGCCAGTGCATCCCTATCAGCTAAAGCCTAAGCATCAAAAGACTATTCTATTCACATGACCTTCAGCCGGAGACCAGCTGCTGCTCAGCTATCAGAACTTTTTCTACCTACAAACTTCTTAATACAGTCAACTTTATTTAAAAACTTTCCTAAGAAACTTCTAAATAAAAGGAACTTCTAAAAAAGCAAAAGAAGGACTTACTATAATAGTTGTGCTGGTTTGCTTGTCAGGCATGTACAATAAATTATCTCCCATTGTCAAGTGGGCCAAATTGTTTAATAACTAATATCTAAACAGGTAATTTTCCATGCCAATTTCTTGCAGTCTACTGATACATATAATTTATTGCCTAATGTACTTTTCTGATAAATTTTTCTCTTTTTATGACCAAGAACAAAAAATGAAGGAATGTTAGATCTTCAGCCCCACGGTGTGAGGCCCTTTACCTTCCAGTGTCTTATCTGGCTGGGGCATCAAGGCCTCCTGCAGCAGTTTAGTGTGAACATTTTTTTAAAAATTTTTGCGTAGAATAAATTGGGTGTAGGCCAGAGGAGCAGGAGGTAAGAAGATTGATCAGAGACAGAATGGGGAGCAGAACAGGTGGCTCTGCTGAGATACCCTGCTAAGGGGAGCAATAGGCAGGACAGGAGAGGTCTGCTGTACCATGTGGGTCAGCTCCCTGGCAGGGGGATAGAAGTCAGGCCCTAGCAGTGATGATGCTGACATTTAACCCCTAGGCCAGCAGGGAGGCCCTAGTGTTAATATTCTTACATGTTAGTGTATGAATATCACTCTTTGATGATGGGGTTCTGCCCCACAGTCCACCAGATTATTATGTGATACGGGATTTCATATCACTGATTTTTTTTTATTTTTTTAATGATTTATTTATGCATACAAGAACTGGGGTACAGACCAGAGCTCTGTGTGTGGGGGTGTGTGTGTGAGAGGATTCACCAGAGACAGAGTGGGGAACAGAAGAGGCAGATTGACTGAAATACACTGCTGAGGGGAGCAGCGGGCAAGTTAGGAGAGGTCTGCTGCGCCATGTGGGTATCTCCTTGGCCGGGGATCAAACTTGTGCTGCAGTGGCTGCAGATAGCTTCATAGGTTGCGTCTTAACACCTTGCGCCACCCGGGAGGCCCCACTTGTCACTGATTCTTATTTGCATTTCATTTGTGAATACATACATGCACACATACACATAGAATTGCAGTTACTTGCTTCTGTTTTTAAAGCACCATTAAAGGAGAATATAACAATCTTCTGAAAATCATAGTTCTCATTCTCTTTATTATTCCAAATCAAATAACATACTTCAAAAAAAATTATACTATATCTTTCTTCCATTGGTTGTCATTCTGGAAAACAAGAAAAGCTAGAAGATGATTGTAGCAAAATGTGTTTGTACAAGGAATGTGTAGATTAAAACCAAGTATATGGAACCCACCATTAATAGCATTAATTCAACATAATGAGTAGTCACTAAACATTATATAGAGAAGACAATGTTTTAGGCACTCTTAAAAAAAAGACAAAAAATTCACCTAAACAGATAACAAGTAACACTGTTTTAAAGTATTTTTTTTTTATATTCATGTAGTAAGTGAAGTAGATTGTGTAATGATTCGTACTGATTGTCACCGCTCATCACTCAAGTGTCTACTGGCATCAATTAGGGAGGCTATAGGAAAACCAAGCAATGGACAATTCATTCATATTCAGAAGAGTTTTTTCATTATTTTAAGATCAGATGAAGACCAGTTGCTCAGGAAAGTTTAAGTGAAAATGTTGGGATTCAGGAAGATTCTGAAACAGCGAGGGCTTTCTTTTTCATTGGCTTTGGAATTCCCCAAGAGTTAGTTTGTGGTTGAGAATATATTCAACTGTTTCAAATCACCAAATATCTACCTTTAAGTCTTTAGAGCCTTCCTGTTTTTTATTCTTACAGATTACATGCTTCCTTTGCATTCTGACCAAATCTTTCCAGCCCACTAGTGGGGAATAAGTTAGTTAACTTATGAAATGGAGTCTTTCAAATCCTTCTCACCATGTGATAACTAAGGAAATTATTGAAATATATATAGTACATTCTCTCAAGTCCCTGGAAGCTTTGGATTAATTCAATTGAGGGCAATATAAAATCTGACAAAGGCACTATTATCATGACCTTTTTAATCCCATAGATTAAGCTTTGGGATGATGGAAGGTTGGAGGAAAGACTGGTTAAGTTAGTCGAACAATAATAGACTGCTTTGGCTGCCATTAAAAAAAATAAGAATCACAGAATACTTTGAGACTTTGGAAACTTAGTGTAAACGCTCATGTTTCCTGGCTCAAGGAATCTTGTTTGCTACTGTTAAAGACCACGTTTCAGAGCACTCTGATCATACATCCACCTTGATCTGAGCTTGCACTGAAGGAGTCATCACATCCTACATGCACTGCAAAGGTAAACAACTCAAGATGAGCAATTTCTGCCAGGGACAACTGGATAGTCTTTTACTCTTTTTTTTTTTTTAATGCATACAAGAACTGGGATGTAGGCCAGCGGTTGGAAGAGTGGGGTGAAAAGATTCACCAGAGACAGAGTGGGGAGCAGAACAGGGGGATCTACTGAAATAGTGAGGAAGCAGCAGGTGAGACAGGAGAGGTCTGCTGCGCCATGTGGATTATCTCCCTGGCCAGGGATGGAACTTAGAACTCATGCTGCAGTGGCTTGCGATAGCTTGATAGCACTGAGACTTTAACCCCTGTGCCACCAGGAAGGCCTCTAGCTTTTATTCTTTATTTTAATCACATTTACTAAACATTGTTGGCAATTAGATATTATATTTAAAGTTTTTAATTTTAATAAGATTTAAGTTCAAATTGAATATATTTTAAATGAAATCATTTCAATATAAATTCAAGTATATCTTATTTCCAAGAAACAAACTGTTTTGCCTGGAGCACATATTTTTACTATTTTGGCATTATTATCCATATTCTCTATCAGATGTACTAAGAAAATAGGGCAGCTATTTTATATATATAGTTTTGATAGAGATATCTGGTTAAGGTTTTACAGACATTTGGCAATCTTATATAAGAATTCAGGTATCTGTAGTCATTGTTCATTTAATATTTTTTTACCACATATAGCTACTCTATAACATCAAAATGATTTGCCCAATTTTAGTATTTTGTGACTTTGCATTTCCCTTTTCTTTCACTACACACACACACACACACACACACACACACACACAAACACACACACACACTCTGCCCTTTGCGTGGTAATGGAAGGAACCCTAACCAAAGTGTAAGACGAACCAGACTTCTAGGTTTGCTTCTGCCTCTGTGTGACCTTGGTTAATATAAACTATTGGGAGGCCACCCCCCCTTCCCATATGTTTCTTCTGGTTCCTTATCTGGTCTAAACCTTGAAACATACCAGAACCTTTACCCTGAATAATATTAATTCTATCCCAATGTTAGTATTATAAAGGGCGTCCCCTGAAAGTTAAATCACATTTTACATTTTTGCTATTTAAGTTTACCAGTAGGCAATGGTGACTACACTTTAAACAGTAGTAGTGATTAACTACTCAGTGTTTAGGTTTATAACATTTTTGGACTGATGGAATATTATAAAATTTAAAATTATAACAGTAAAAATTGGCAACTTCACATTTTGGGGGACAGGTATTTTTTTATCTGGTAAATTATAGTTTGAACTTGCTCAACTAAAATGAATCTAAGGATATTAAGAAAATATTGACAATATAAGTATTCAATAATGTTATAGTGCTATTATAATTTATATTCACCTCTCCAGAAGCACAATTAAAAATACTTACAGAAACCTACAAAATGCACAAGTATTTAAAAATTAAGACTTCAAAGGTGCACAAAAGCCACATTCAAACATGACTTTTGCTTGAATTAAATCTCCTGAGAATGCCTTCCCTATCACTTCTACTTTGGAGCAGTTATGTTTCCAGGTTAGGGGGTAGAGGTTATGCATCAAATTGAGAACTTCCCCAGGCCCATGGAAACATGTACTTCCTTCTGCTCCCCCTGTGTGAGAATTAAGGGAAAGAAGCTGAACAAAGGAAATTCTCATCTACTGCAGTTATAACAGTATGCCCAAGAACAGCTGGTATCAAACTCACACTTGCATAACACTTTTTCTATGTACAAAGCTTTTTTACATGATTCATTTGATTCTCAAAATAACTCCATAAAACACAATTTTATAGGTGAGAGAAGGGAAGCATGGAGATGTTTATGTCATAACTTCCTGGTGTGTCAATACTGGTACCGCAAAGACAAGTGTGGTTTTCTGATATTCTCATTAAATATTCTCTCTACTACACCACTTTGATTTTTCAAACCTATGAAGCAACTTAGAGCTAGTAAAACAGTAAAAATGTTTTGATTCCCAAAAAGGCGGCTTCTTTTGGTGCCATTTTGTGATTAAAAATGGTTTCCAGAACAGAATAGAAAAGTACATTATAAAATATTTGACATAGTGATCACAATGTCCCTTATAGGAGGGGAATTTAATCAGTAAATTAAAAGTCAGGAAACAAAATCATCTTAGAGCTTTAACCCATTATTCTATCTTTACTTTTATTGATGAGGTTAAAAAAGCAATTTGAATGCTAATATATCAAACATCTAACCAATTTCCTTGCCTAGAAAAATCTTTTCTTATATTGGAAATGGGAAGGTTTGGAAATTTACTTAGACAAAAAAGCTACTACTAAAAACATTCTGTATTTACCTGTATTGATAGTTTAGACAGTAGTTCAAGGTAAACTGCATTAACTCTCTCTGAAAATATTAGTATATAAATACATTTGTTTTTCTTGTTTCAATAAGATAGTATACTACAACATCAAAACTTTTGCTGATAGTGCTCCTTCATTTTAATTTTTATAAATATTTGTGATAAAATATTTTCCTTAGATCCTTAGATATCTTTTATAAAACAAAATTCTCAGGAGCAAGAAATCAGAGAACAAAAATGAGTATAAAATTGATTTTCTTATGTTTAGGCAAAATTAAGAGAGGATAAGTATTTCAGGGAATGGTTAAAAACTTGGAACTTTAAACAAGGAACTACTCTGTGGGTCCCAGGTGATACCTCTGAGATTTGTTGACTTTGTAAGTGAACAATGCACTTTTAAATCCACCTTGCTATTCAATATTCATAAATCCACTCAAGAGACGGTAATTCCTGATAAAAATCTTTCCAATCTGAACAAAAGTGCACAAAAAATCCATTCCAAACTGTCAAGGAAAGTGAGTAATATTGACATATTTGGACATTAAGGTCAGCCTGATGCTAACAAAGTGAGAACAGGGGTAATTATGAAACTACCACAGTTTCAAGGAAAAGTTGTCAACTTTGCCAGAGAAGTTAGTGAGCTACCCAAACTGGTAGTGGAACAAATCAGCACAACGCCCTGAATCAAACACCTTCCAAAGAAGTGTTCTTGGGTGCTTATACTCGTCTGGGTGCTTTCATTGCAACATTGCTGTGAATGTTGGCATTTCTCCTGCAATGACAGCCCCTCTACTCCCCTTAGTCCTCTGGCCTGCAGGCGGTCAGCACAGGCACTCTTTCCTGGGCTTTACAGCTTCCTCAGAGGAATGCACAGTGTTAGGAACAAACCCACTTTTAACCCCTTCCCAGCCATCCTGAATACAAATTTCTCCCCTCTTAATCAGTTCATAAATCTCTTTTGTCAAGATGGTGAAGGATTCCTCAACATTTGTGGCATCTTTTGCTGAGGTTTCTATATACTTCATACCACAGTCTGCAGACAGTATTTCAGCTTCTTCCCTTGTGACTTGACGCTGTGAAGCTAGATCACATTTATGTCCGACCAGCAGAAACACTATCCGAAATGGCTGCACGTGCATTTTTGCTTCTTCTAGCCAATCTTTCACGTGTTCAAAAGACCGTCGGTTAGTAATGTCAAATACTAAAAATCCTCCAACAGAGTTGCGGTAATAAGATCGAGTTATTGACCTGAAAGAGAAATAGAGAAAGAGTTGTGAAGGGTCAAGCTGTTGTTTTACCTCTCTTTCAAACAATAGCACCAGGATAAAATCTGGAGACTTTGTTGGGATTTCATTAGAACTTGAGAGTCAGATGTGAAGTATCTCAAGTGGACAAAAATATTCTTTTTTTAAAATTTTCATTTATTTATTTTTGCACAGAGGAGCTGGAGTATAGGCCTGAGGCACCGGGGGGTAAGAAGATTCACCAGAAATAGAGTGGGGATCATAACAGGTGGAGCTAATGAAATACACTACTGAGGGGAGCAGCGGGTGAGACAGGGGAGGTCCACTGTGCCATATGTGGGTTGGCTCCCTGGCTGGGGACCGAACTCAGGCCCTAATGGTGATAGTGGTGATAGTGCTGAGACTTAACCCCTAGGTCCCCAGGGAGGCCCCAACGGACAAAAATATTCTTTTTTTTTTTTTTTAAAGATTTGTTTATTTATGCATACAAGAACTGGGGTACAGGCCGGAGGTGCAGGAGGTAAGAGGATTCACCGGAGACAGAGTGGGGAACAGAACAGGTAGACTGACTGAAATACACTGATGAGGGGAGCAGGGGGTGAGTCAGAAGAGGTCTGCTGCGCCATGTGGGTAGCTCCCTGACTGGGGATTGAACTCATGCTGCAGAGGCTGCGGACAGCTTCACAGCGTTGTGCTTAACCCCTTGTGCCATCAGGGAGGCCTCATATTCTGAGACTGATGAGCCAGCCAGTCTCACCCACTGACGGGACATTAAAGTGCCAGCAGTTTTTAGATAGACAAGCACTTACAGAGTGTGTCATCTTGTACTGTCTTTTAAGTGTTTGATAGCATAATTATTACATCATTGTGGCTAAAAATAGACACAGAGAAAAGTTTGATGGAGGGCAGAGGTTGAGATGGAGGGAAAGAGAAGGATGGGAAATTAAGTGACGAATGTCAGTCTGGTCTCACATGTGTTATGGGAGAAGTAAGTGATGAGACTACTCTCTGGGAAGATCTGTAAAGGGGATATGGCACCCTGATATCCAGTGTGATGACAAGGGTGAATTAGGAATGGCTCAGCACCACAAGCTTTTAGCAGCCTCTTTGTCCTTCCCACATAGAAGATCTGGTTTTGATTGTAAGAGACAATGGCTGAGGACCTCCCCGGTGGCACAGTGGTTGATCGCTGGGTTGCGAAGCTGCCCGCAGCCTCTACAGCGCCGGTTCGACCCCCGGCTGCTCCTCGGGCACCGAAGGAGGGTCCCACATGGCGTGCAGACCTCTCCTGCCACCCGCTGCTCCCCTCAGCAGTGTACTTCAATCCTTCTGCCTGCTCTGCTCCCCGCTCTGGCTCTGGTGAATTCTCTCACCCTCCCGCGCTTCTGACTGTACCCAGTGCTTGTATAAATAAATAAATAAAAATAAATCTTAAAAAAAAAAAAAAGAGAGAGACAATGGCTGATTCTTTTATACCTTGAAAGCTACAGTGTCAGTATCTACTATCCTATTTTCAAAGTCTCCTCTCAGAATGTGTCCTCCATTTCTTGCCTTTCCTGAAAAAAGCTGGTCTCTGAGGACCTTCCCCAGCAGTGCCCTCATGTCGCCCAGAGCAGGAAGAGGTACTTTCTGCTTCCCCAGTCCTCTTCCATAAAATTATTCTTTCCTGGCCCTCCCTGGTGATGCAGGAGTTAAGAACCAACCTATGAAGCTATCCACAGCCACTGCAGCATGAGTTTGATCCCCAGCCTTGGAGCTACCCACATGGCGCAGCAGACCTCTTCTGACTCGCCCACTGCTCCCCTCAGCAGTGTGCTTTGTTCAATCTACCTGTTCTGCTCCCCACTCCGTCTCTGGTGAATCCTCTCACTCTCCCCATACCTCTGGCTTATACCCCAGTTCTTGTATGCATAAATAAATAAATCTTTTAAAAAAATTATTCTCTCCCAAGCCTTTCTGTAAAAATTGTCTCCAGTTCCTTTGAACTTATGCCATCTGGTTCTCATCTGCCAACTGCTGGGTCATCCCCCATGTACTGAGGCCATAGCACTCTGTTTTGCTTTTCTGTCATTCTGCTTATACTGATTTAAACATCCATTTGGATATGTGGTCTGATGTCATCTGTTTCTTGACGTCATCATCTCTCACAAACTGGCCCCTCCACTCTGCCTTTCTCATTTACTTCCTTTATATCTTTAGAAATATTCCTTACCTCCAAAACTGCAGTCTATGTCTTGATCAAAATCTCACTGCCTATGGCATATTTTCACTGTGATAATTCCTTAATTCCATCAAGATTTGTCTCCTGTCCAAATCCATCACTTTCCATCCGTTAATACCCTCCCTGGTTTTACCTCCTTTCATATCTTAATTCTATGAGACATCATTATAATTGTCCTCTTGGAAATAGCTCAGTCCCCAAGCTCCTCTGCTTGTGCCATATTCCATTCCTACCTCTGTATCAATCTAGCATGCAGCTGTGTGTTTCTGGGAAAATTATTTAACCAGGCAGGGTGGTGTCTCTATGAATTCATTATCACCAGTTCCAAGTGGGCATGCAATGCTGCTGGTATCAGGAGAAACTTTCCTCAGGTTTAGGCTTCTATTACAGGACATAAGTGGATTTTCCTGGGCCTCCCCTGGTGGCGCAGCAGTTGAGCACTGGGCTGCCAAGCTGCCCGCAGCCTCTGCAGCGCATCCGGCTAGGCGCGACAGACCTCTCCTGCCATGCCCGCTGCTCCCCTCAGCAGTGTATTTCATCACTCTGCCTGCTCTGTTCCCCATTCTGGCTCTGGTGAATTCTCTCACCCTCCGGAGCTTCTGACTGTACCCAGTGCTTGTATAAATAAATAATCTTAAAAAAAAAAAGTGTATTTTACATTCAACCTTCCTCTTTCCACAAGAGAACTGGAGGAACAGTTTATTCCACTTAGCTAGATTCTTCCACAGAAGGAAATGTGGCTGTTTTGTCTGGCTAGAGTGTCTCTCAGGCTGTTGGGCCTAATAATCGGTGAAATAGAATAGTTACTAGTCAGCATTTTTACCCCAGTTTGGACTCAAGCAAAGAGGTTATGACAGAGGTGGTGGGAGTGATCAGGCTGAACAGACTTTCTCTTACCTGCACTGTCATTGTCAATTTTCCATAGCTACTGACATCTTGGATAGGGTACTCTACTCTAGGGGAACCACCCTGGGGGACCCCGCTATGTTCTCCCCATAATAAATATTTAATCTGGATTCAGACCATGCTAGCACTCACCATCCAGAAACTTCTAGAATGTCTTATAGATAATCATGATGTTCCACACTTCGCTACAATTCAAAGATCTCACTTAATGAAGAAAGAGTTGAAGACATGAGTCCTGTCATGGGATTCCTTGATTCATTATGTCATGGTCACCCACAGACATCTGGCCCTAGACAACTGTGGTTGGGTGATTAAGCTTCACATACCCAGATCCAGGAAATGATACCTGGTATGATTTTGGCATGATCCTTTGGGATGTATAATATATGTTCTAAGTTACTGAGGAATATAGTATTTGGTGTTTTTCCCCATAAATAGAAACTATGGTATGGGAAAGAGAGTGGGGGTATGGTGCCTCTCACAATTACACTTAGTGAGCCACTCAAATTTTTGTTGCTTTTAATCCTCATGCCTCTATCCTCTGCTGATATAAAGATTTTAGCATCTAAGGTAGAAATGCTTTCTCCCGGAGAGTACCATGGTGCAGCTACTGACAGTAGCCGAGGCTGTCAACTTCAGGCAAAAAGGGGACAACTGCATAGTGGGGACCACACTAGCTCCTGTGGTTCTTGCTGCCCTGAACTCCTCGGGCCTTTTGTTTCATACCAAGCCTGGTTCCTGAAGCTTCCTGACAATTTTCTGTGTCTCAGACATGGTTCCAGACTTTCATTTTTGATTAAGGTTTTCAAGTTGGCTTTGTTGTTGGCAACCAAAGACCTCTTTGATAGCGTTCTCGTATAGTTTATGAACGATTCAGACAAAACAAAATCACAAATATTTCATAACATAACTTTATGAAGCCAAAATCCATTCTTTTAAAAAAAAATGGTACCAAAAAATAAGACATCAATCCTCTTAATAAATCTCTTAAGTGTACAGTATTATTAGTGATAAGTATGAGGTTGTAAGGCAACCTAGATATCTAGATATCTAGAATTTTCCATCTTGTGTAATTGAAATTCCATACCGGCTCAACAGCAACTCCTCACTTCCTTCTCTTTCTAGGCTCTGGCAACAATGACTTTCTTTTATTTTACTTTTCTTCTTTTATGAGTTCAGCATCTGCATCTAAGTAGTATTGTGAAGATTTGTCCTGTGACTGAATATTATCCCATTAGTATAATATTCTCAAGATCAGCCATATTGTGGCGTATGACAGGAGTTTCTTCTTTCTTCGTGTCAAATAATGTGCAGTTGTACTTATGTAACATTTTCTTTATCCATCATCTGTAAAGTTATTCTCATTATGTGTATGTGTGCATGTGTGTGGTGTGTGTGTGTGTGTGTGTGTGTGTGTGTAGAAGAACTGGGGTATAGCCAGAGGCGCAGGAGATGAGAGGATTCACCAGATACAGAGTGGGAAGCAGAACAGGTGGATTTACTGAAATACACTGCTGAGGGGAGCACTGGGCAAGATCGGAGAGGTCTGCTGTGCCATATGTGGGTTAGCTCCCTGGCCGGGGATTGAACTCAGGCCACGGCGGTAATATCGCGGACTTAACCCCAGGCCACCAGGGAGGCCCTCATATGTATATTTGTTTTAGAATAGAAAAGAAAAATGAAGGTTTTGCCTATATAAACAATTTTAATTTTCCTCTTTAATTTTTTTCCCTGAAATAATATGAGAGCACTGGAGTTTGCCTTATACTTAGAACAAGTTACTTAATATATGAGCATTGTAATCAAGTGTGAATGACATACCTCAGGGGACTTGGAATCTTTTTGACACAAAATGACATGATTACTGAGGTTCCAGA